AGAAGAAGAAGAAGAAGAAGAAGAAGAAGAAGAAGAAGAAAAAAAAAGGTTGACCCAAGTCAGAATCCAACTTAAGAACTAACTTTCCCATGTTTTTAAAGACCAAGTGCAAATTGGCTAACAATATATAAACATGACTAAACAAGTTTTATAAATTTAAGTGGAAACAAAACGATAAGCTTCTATTTTTAAATTTAGTTACTTATTAAAAAAAATGTCGATTTTTTTCCTGGAAAGAAGCATAGTACATCTCTACTTATTTCTCAGTAAGGGATGTGTTTTTAAATTCCCAGGCGATGCACAAAATCATGAATAATTCTAAATGTGTTTTTTCTTTACAAAGACCTACTTATGATACAGTCTGACTTATAAATTGAACACAGTAAGGCATTAACAATAACTACTAATAAAACATAAATACTGTAATCAAAAGTAATTTAAAACTTGTTTATTTTTGGAAATTTCTACTTAATATTTCTGGATTACGACAGCCCAGAAGTCACTGTAATCATGGAAAGCAAAATCATAAATAAGGCTACCACAATGTGCTGAAATCTTCTCAGAATGTATGCTGATCCAAAGTACATTAATATTCCTAATAGTCTATAATAGCTAATGAAAGCAAGAATTCCAATCATCACCCTTACAGAAACATGTCATCCCTACCATTGTTTTTCCTAATGGGACAAAAGTTTCCAATGTATACTTTTTAAGATCTCTGGGGTAACATTTTTCTTTACAAATTAGCTCTTATTTACATTGGTTTGTTCTAGTCATGTCCCCAATTATAAAGATATTTAATAATAAGACCTATCTTAAGGAAAACCAAGACTATTCACTCATATTTTATTTGAATTTCTTCTTGAAACCAATGAGACATACCTTCAGAATTATGTGCGGTTTTCTTGTGTTTTCGACAATAAACCCTGAGGGAGGAAAATACAAAATTATGAACTCATTACATTTATTTTGCAAATTACAAAAATGAGCAGCACAGGCCACCCCATGCATAAACTGAGTTTATTTTTCTTTAAATCTCATGTTACACTTCCTAAATCGTTTCTTTCACTATTACATATCAAAATAACCTTTACAGTGACAATGAACTGCTCTGAATGAGGAAAAAACCAACAACAGCCTGAAGGAAAGCATGGCTGCTCTAAAACAAAGCAAAGGGAAGCAGTTACATGTAAATGCCTTGCGAAGGCTTCTCTCGGATCTGAGCTTTATCATGCAGCGCACAGTGGTAGTGGTAAGTCCTGTGGCACGTTTTCACATCACAGCCAATTGTTGCTCCGGGACAATGGCACAAAGAACACATCTAAAGAAAAACGACAAAACAATATTCAAATGTGAGTCTGCGAATACTGTCACAAACAGGTTAGGGGAATTCCAACTTCTGTCAGGAAAAACAAACTGGTTACTGAAAAAAATTCTAATTTATGTTATTTTTCTTATTTGGTCTCCTAAAATAATTTGAATAAAATTGTTCTGGTGGTAATTTTTCCACCGATAAAAAATATAGGATGTTATAAATCTTATTTCTCTACGGTCAAGAGAACACCTGAAATACTGTAAATCATGTTTCTGTGGTACAGATGAATACCAGTATAAAAAAGATAGACCTCTTTTGCAATCCAGAACTTGATGGATACAATTAGTTAGGAAAAATATCTCTTGAGAATTTTTTCCTTAAAACTTCCACTTAAATCACCGAGAGAGCTGATGACACAGCTCAGTGATACATGGCTTCCCCAGTCACAAACCTACCAACAGACCCTAGTACCACCACCAAAAACAATTTTTAAATCAGATTTAATGAAGATGAAGAAAAATGTAAATGAAAATCTTTGAGAAAAACTCCCCTATACTCCTTGGAAACCTGGTAAAATCAACTGGAAATTAACCCAGTAGAGGATAAAAGAATTATAAAGTAGTTTTAATACCTTGAGCAGAGGATATTCTGTGATATTTAATTGATTATACTGTGAAAATAGGCCTGCCTGCTTCAATTTACTCTTACTTACCTTTTGCATTATGAATTCAAGCCAACAGAAAGAAGAAAAGATTTGTTCAACTCAATATATCTTACATTCTTACTTATTAGATAGTAATTAACCAGATCATGTGCTATATTTAGAAACAATTCTTTTTTTGAGTACATAACAATCGTTATTACTGTTTTCAGTTCACAAAACACTGTGTACTGTACCCAGTGGACTTTTAATGTGCCATCTCCTAAGCTATAAATGCCACATCAAAGTGAATCACAGTAAGGTAAAAACAAAACCTTCTCTTGGTTTCCTGGTTGCCAGATACCTTGCTCTAAACTCTGATCTTAGTACTCAGGAGAACAAGGCTGGAGTTTCAGGCCAGCCTGAGCTACATTTACTGAGACTCTTTCTCCAAAAACCAAACCCAAAATCAAACAAGCAAGCAAACAAAAAACACAGACAATTCTAACATTTGGACTTAGTCCCTAAGCAATACTGATGTACTAAGAGGCTAATATAAATTTCAATAAAATCTCTCACATTTCTCTAAGGAAATCAAACACTGAAACTCATTCATGTCATCATTTTTTAAAAATATTTACGTAAGTACAAAATAAATACTCTCAATGTAGGTACTTTCCAGAAAACACAAGGGCCGCTACCCACTATGAATACACAAGAAATATACCGAAACTCCAAGTAATTACCATAAAAGAACAGGGTGCTGCTGGGGTATAGAAGTATCACGGAGCAATTGCCCGGCATGTGCGAGGCCCTAGATTCAACCTCCAGCACCACCCAAATGAAGTAAGATTACAAATACCACCTTTACAAAGTTTAGATCCCTTGTTTTAGTAATTGCACATCTATATATTTATTGAAAATATTATCAGGCATAAACAATTTCTGTTCAAGCAGATTCATTGCAGAATTGTTTTGAATAGTCCCAATTCTAAAACAATTGAAACACATTTAAATAAATCACAATACATTCGTATCAAGGGATATTCTACTGCTGCTCCCTTTTCTTTCAGAGAACATCTCATGTTGTAGCCTAAGTTGGACTCAGATTTGTCATCTGCAGCCTCAAACTACCAAGTGCTGGAATGATAGGCATGCCTAGCATACCCAGCTTCAAAGTAACGGCTTTATATATGTGAAGTGAAAAATCAGTACAGGATATGAAACTATGTTAATTTCAATCTCAATTATATTTCTAGTATATAGACTTTGAAAATGGGTAGAAGCCAGGCAGCAATGGTAATTGGCAGGCAGAGGCAGGTAGATTTCTGAATTTGTGGCCAGCTTGGTCTATAGAGGGAGTTCCACGACAGCCAGAGCTACACAGAGAAAGCCTGTCTCAAAAATACAGAAAGAAAAGGAAGAAAGGAAAGAAATGAGGTAAGGGGAGGTTAGAAGTAAATATAGCAAAATGCCTGGTTGCTATCTTTGAATGGTTTTCATTCTCCGTATTTTCTCATTTTCTACAATATTCAAAGTATTCTGTTATACAAAAAGTATACTTGTTTTACGTTTTGAGATAAGGTCCCACTATGTGGTCCAGTCTAGTTTCTAACTGGCTCCTGTGTCAGCCTCCCCAATGCCAGATCTTAGGTATGCACTCTTATGCCTGTCACTGTGTTGTCCTAATCATCTATGCTAGAGTCCAACACCTGCAACAATTCTTTTCCCTGAACTCCTACGGTACAGGATACATGCCGGCTTCATCTTAGTTCTTACAATTTTGTTCTCTATTTGGCGATTTTTTATAAATGGATAGATTTTTACCTAACCATCCCTTCTATATTGTTTTTCTATATTATTTTTTGTAACTCTAGAGAAGGACCCTAGGCCTTTGTGTGTGGTAGGCAAGCACTCTCCCACCGAAAACTAAGAGTGCTCAATAAATTTGTTATTTTGTTAATTCTGTTATTGAAGATTTGAACATCTTAACACACACACACCTTAAAAATTGAAGATTTTACCTATTTACCTTCAGGTTCTCCTAAAAATAATAATGAACCAGAGGTAGGCATATACCATAATAGCAGACCTCTGGAAACTGAGGCAATGTCAAGTTTGATGACAACTTGAGCTCAGTGTTTGTCTGGGCTACATTAGTTGAGACCCTTCCTCAGAAACAGTAGCTAGAGGGATTGTTTCCTGGGTAAGAGCACTTGTTGCTCTTGCAGAGGACCGAGGTTCAGTTCTCTGGACCTACACAGTGGGTCACAACAATCTGTAACTCCACTTCTAGGAGATCCAACACTGTCTTCTGACCTATGAGGGCACTGCACAACACATGTAGAACACTCATACACATTAAAACAAACAAAACACACAGAAAATAACTTACAAACTGTATGAGCCAGGACTGGAAAAAGTGAAATTGAGGACAATTCAGTTGAAAGAACACAGAATGTAGGGAGAAACAAGATTGAGAGCTCAGAGACAAATATCATAATTAAAGAAGCTAGGGTAGAACCATTTCTGAAAGGCTATGGCAAATAGAAACAAGAGAGGCATTTTCTTTTAAGAAAAAGAATTAGGAAGGAAGAGAGAGTTGCTGTCCTTTTGGGGGGATTTGGCTGGTGATAGGTTTCCCCACAGCTCAGTAGCTATCCTCAAACTCATATACATACAGGCTGCAATAACTGGACTGCAGGGGGCTAGTAATAAAAGAAAAAGGACACGACGTCAGCAGGGTAACAAGGTGAGGGGCCTTATAAGGAGATGGAGGGAGGTAACAGTCAATGGAATATGATAGAAAATAAATCTCATAAATCTATGAAATATTCAAAGACCGAAGAAAAAATAATTTAAAAGAGGATGGGCATGGTGGTACATGCCTTTAATCTCAGAACCAGGGTGGTAGAAGCAGGGGCAGGCAGGTGTCTGTGAGTTCCAAGCCAGCTAGGGCTACAAAATGAGACCCTGTCTCAACAAACAAACAAGACCCCACCATCATCACCATTAGCATCACCATCACAGCAATGTATGCCAGATGGACCAGAGCACTGGTACTCAGTACCTGCCTTATTACAGAAAACATTTGCTCTACAATTTGCCATAGTCTTTCCCACTATTTGTCCTCCAGAAAAAGACTGTCAGCTGTCATATTCATCAAACTTTCACTGTATCCCTGGCACCTTCAAAAGTGGAAAATGAAAACTAATGTAACATGAACATGTTTTTCAAGAACAATGGTGTCCTTTCCCTGCTCAAAAAATAAGGGGGCTGACCTACCTACCAAATATTCTCTTGAGAGCTAATTTTCTTTCCCCCAATGTAGGTATAAATGTTAATGCTCACCTTACTCTGCTTGTATCATATTCTATGTTCTTGTTTAAAAAGGCAAACACATTGTAAATGACATTGCTTGTCTTTTACCCCCCTCTTCAGCTTGCTCCTGGAAGACCTGATAAACCTCAACTATGACTCTCCAGATTCAAAGTTGCCGAGTTTGGGAAAGGAGGCCCTGTCCTATCACAGGTAATTGCATACCCTTTCCACAGTATGGTCAGAAGCCATGGTAACAGCCAGAAGTTTTGCTATGCTAACAAGGGTTAAGCTGTATCACAGAAACAAGTCTCAAGGAGCTGACCCAGAGATGAAAGAGGAACCAAGTCATGCATGAGAGGACACACAAAGAACTCAAAGACTAACACTTAGCCGGACTACCATAGGAAGCAGACAGCGTAGCATACCTGCACTTTAGTCAACTGAACAAGGCCAAGAATGAAACTGAGTCTCCACAAAGTCTTAAGGGTCAAAAGGAAAACTACTGTTTTCTCAGTAGCTGTGCAGAGGGAAATAAAAATGAAGTTGCCAACTTCATGCATAGGCAGAAGAATAAAGTGTTTGTGGAAAAGCTAGAATCCAGTGGCTACACAGAAACCCTTGTAGCACAGTTCCATACAGCTCAACTGTAGCAGAAGAACTCCCAGCTCAGACACACATTCACAGTAGAGCAATAAGGTTAACAGCGTTGGGGACACTTGCTTCAGAAAACTGCTTGGAACACAGAAAATGCAAAAAAAGATGTGAAAAGAAGCCATGGTCCTGAGCCTGTAAGGCAAAGACAAAAATTGTCAAAAGCACCTAAAGAAAGGGACACTGTATGTAGGATATTTCACGAGAGACCAGCTCACCTTACAGTGGCCTGGCTCCCTTATACTGTAATAACACTAACTCCTATAAAAAACAGGACGCAGGACAGTACAGCTGGGGCAAATAGTCAGAAATGTCTCAATAATCTCATAAATCTCCAGGGTCATAGTTTAGAATATAAGCCTGTCTTACCTAGCTGGTTGACAGTGACCAAATT